ATCTTCCTTACTGTCCTGTTTTGACAGCATCACCGTGATAAATTGTTATGATCTCTCTACCTTATTTAGTTTGGACAGTTTTGGATCATTTGTTACTTTGGTTAGACCCTCGGCATACGACTCTTATACCTATCATGCTCCACATTATTATTATAAAATTACAAAACATAATTACAAATAAAATCTCTCTGCCTCATTTAATCAGATTATAGGTCATCCCTTCACTTTCTATTCAGCTGTTGACACTTTACTCACACCACCTGACACTCTTGATCACCTGCAGAGACCTATTATTCGGTCTGTCGACACTCCACTCACACCATTTGTATGATCTTTTGAGCTCTCTGCCGATAAATGTGCTTCTCTCTCACTTCACCTGGTGAAGGGGCTACATTCTGAAAGCTTGTGATTTCGAATAAGCTTGTTGGACTATAACCTGGTGTTGTCTGACTTCTGACCTCATCCACCCCAGACCGACAGCGGCACCTCCACATCTCACGAAACTAGTGAGAAAGAGTTTGTCGAATCTCTTCCACACTCGGATGTGATTGAACTAGATTCTGAGCTAACCATTCATACCACACCTTCCAGGATTTAATTCTAGCTGGAAGCTTTTGGCAGTTTAAAAGAAAAACATTGCAACATATCCTCCCTTCAGTTCAGAACATAAGAGGATGGCAGTTGGTGGTGACATGGCATGCAGATGCAGGAGGATCGACCCCAATGCCGGAGGTGGTGGTGAGGGGGGGTGAGGGAGGAGATCGAGCCCATGTGGGGAAAGCCGAGCATGGAGCGACTGCAGGCCCATGGCTAAAGAAGGACTGTAATTTGGAACTTTTAACTTTATTTCTTAGATGCTAGTTTATACTGAGAAAAACTGTGATGTCGAACTTTTAACTTATTTCTTTATTTTTCTACTTTTTAAACGCAAGATTTTCTACCTGGGTATTTTGTACCTAAGACGGCACCAGGAATGGTGACATTGTACACTTTTCACTGTATTTCTGTATCCCTGTGCTTGAGTACGCATGACAATAAAACCTAATTCTCTACTCATCTTCTGCGTAAGTGCCTAAGGTGGTCATCAAGTCACGAGCTCATGTTCCATGTCCCACTCCACAGAATTATACACACAATTCATGCTGACATTCCTTGCAGGAAGCTCTGCCTGGTCAGTGGTGCTGCCTCTGTTAGACATGTAGATCCCAGCTCTGATCCTTTGATAGAAGGCAGCTGTTCTAATATCAGCATTTATCGGCTATTTGCAAGGAGGGCTGTTGCAGGATTTTATCAGAAACTCTCTCTCAACTTCCAGCTACGTGATATCTGACATCATGGATGCTACACTTTAGCGAAAGAGTAAGTGACCCCTTCAAGTGCACTCTCTCGCTCCAAAACTGAGGCCCCATTTGGCCTCTCAACTGAGTGCCACAGATCCCACGACCTATGTTCCCTGGGATTTTTCCTGCTGTTGCCGTGCGTGACATCGGCTTCTGGAACTGGAAGTCAGTCGGCGTGCACAGAACCTGAGCAGTTTAGAGGAAGCGTTGCCCTGGAGTCCATCCCAAATAAGTGAAGCAGCAGAGCTTCTTCCCAGCTCCCTGGCCAGTATTTATCCCTCAAGCAATGTCGTTATGTTGGCTACATCAGAAGAACCTGAGAAACAGGATGAGGAATAGGCCATTCAGCCCCTCAAGCCTACCCCTACCATTCAAGAATATCATGGCTGATCTGTTCCCCAGGTCTCAACTCCTCATCACCCTCAACTTCCTTGGATTTTTTTTGAAAAATCATTCTCTGGTCATTTATCTCACAGCTAGGTGTGGGATCTTGCTGTACAGAAAGGGGTTGTCATATTTGCCGAAACGATGGCAACGAATGCACTTCCAAAGGACATTACTGGCTGCAATGTGGCTCGAGGATGTGACAGAAGCTTTGGGAATGGAGGCTCCCACCCCACCCCCCTCACTGATTCACTGCAGTCATTTATTCCAGGAAACTAATGTGTTGTTGAGATCTCTGTACCTACTAGGAAATGGAAAACATGTCAAGGGAAAAAAAAACAAAATTCCATGGGAACTTGACTCGGTAACTACCAGCACAGCCATCAGTGTTAATCTTTTTTTAAAAATAAAAACAACTGAGTGATTCTTTAAAAAAATTGCTCGGGAGGATGCCAGCTACAATTTTCCCTCATTAGTGAGATAAGGTATGAAGGTCATGTCAGGAGAGAAATCATCACAGCCTGTGTTACCAGCATAACCCTCGATCTGTTTAAATGGTAGATGCACTGCATGTCTTAGAGGACCCTGTGAATACCACTTCTAGGAGAAGCACTGTCTGAGAAAAACAGAAGCCAATTGCACCTACTGACCTTGCACAAACTCAGACTATGCCAGACACATTATCCAGGGTGACACTCCTAATGCAGTGCCGAGGGAGTACTGCACTGTCACAGGGGCCACCTCTCTCTCTCTCTCTCGAGATCTTATAAACCAAGGCACCATTTGGCCTGTCCTCATTAATGCAAACTAACTATTCCAAAGAGGGGCACCGGACAATACTAAATCCTTCAACCGATGTTACCACTTGCTCATCTCACAGACACAAGGTTCTAACTTCTAGTTTCTCTCCAGAGCTTGGGCACAGAGGCTGATACACCAGTGCGGTACAGCGGGCAGCTGCACTGTCAGAGGTGCTGTCTTTCAGAGGAGACTTTGAGCTGAGGCTGCATTGCTTTCTCATGGGGGCCGAGCGGAGGGGGAAATTGTAGGAGATCTCATGGCCCCTGTTTTAAACAACAGTTAGAGGTCTGCCTGGTGTCCTCACTAATATATAGCCCTTGATCACCACACAAAAAAAAAATAGATTATCTGGCCATTATCATATCACTGTCTATGAGAGCTTGCTGTGGATAAATTAAGTGTCATGTTTAAGACTTTAAAACAATGACTACATTTCAAAATATCCTTCATTGACTCTAAAGTAACTTGAGACTTCTGGTGGTCATCCAAAGTGCAATACAAGTGCAAATATTTCTTTCAATGCTGTTTGTGGGATCTTGCTGTGCAAAGGTTGGCTGCCTCCTTTCCACCATTACCGAAGTGCTCTGTCGTGTGCAAAACACTTTGGGGCATCCTGAGATCTCACGACGCACTGAGAATGGGAAGTCTTCTTTCCAAATGGAAAGTTGCATTCTGACACCCAAAAGTGAGCCGTCACAATTTTCCCATCCCCTGGTCTCATTGAGGACGACAACATTTTCGTTCGCCTCAACCCGATGCCCGGAACCTGCTCGTTATCCTTCTCCTTTATGCCTTCCAAACCCATCGCCTCACCTTCAGTCACCTGGGAAGAGAGCCAGTGGGGGTGCAGAGGGGGAGAAAGTAAGGGCAAAATGTGAGGGAGAACCTTGTTCATGAAGTGAATAGCGATGACATGAAACACTCTGCCCCCAAGGGCTGTGGCAGTCAATGATTCATGAGGAAATTGAGAGGGAATCTTGAAGGAAATTAACTTTTGGGTCTACAGGGAAACAGCAGGGTATTTGCACTGACTCGATGGCTCTTCAAAAAAAAAAAAAGAGCTGGCATGGACTCAATGGGCCGAATGGCAGCCTCCCATAATGCCATAACTTTAAGGGCTCCCTTGACCTCTGACCTCAGTTCTACACACTTCATGCTACATGACTATCCCTGATAAAGTCCTTTGGGTAGGTGTCTCTGTATGCGTGTCTCTAGTGAAGGTGTAAATTGTCATTGCCCATAGCCAGCTAATGTTATAATCCCACTGTAGCTTTACAGCATTCACTTGCTCCCAAATGGATTCCAGGGTTTCTGGTTCTCCCATTTTATCTGGGCAGCTTATTCCTTCTGTCGAATATTCTTGTTGTGTGCAGGAGAAACCTGGTCTCACCCCTCCCCATCTCCACCAACGCCTTCAACTCTCCGACAGCCCTGTCCTATTTTGTACATCTCCCTCTCTCCTCCTCTGTCACACCACTGACAGCTGTCAGCGCAGCTGCTGGGGCTCTGCGCTCTCGGGAATTTCTTCCCAAAACTACACCACTGTCCTTGTAAAGCTGGCGCCAAGCCAAGGTGGACAGATTACTGCTCACTAAGGGGATCAGGCAAGAAAGCTAAGTTGAGAATTATTGGGTTATCCATGATATCAGTCCATGATCTGATGGACCAAATGGCCTACTTCTGCTCCTATACCTTATGATTCATCGTCATGTGGTGATGATTCCACTCATCTCTGCACTGTTACCCCTGGAGTGGGGCGGCACAGTGGCTCAGTGGTTAGCACTGCTGCCTCACATTGCCAGGGACCCAGGTTCGATTCCACCCTCAGGTGACTGTCTGTCTGAGTGGGGTTTGCACATTCTCCCCGTGTCTGTGCGTGTTGCCTCTGGGTGCTCTAGTCTTCTCCCACCGTCCAAAGATGTGCAGGTTAGATGGATGGGCCGTGTTAAATTGCCTGTACTGTCTGAGCATGTGCAGGCTAGGTGGATTGGCCATGGAAAAAACAGGGTTACAGGAATAGGGTAGTGGGGTAGATCTGGGTGGGATGCTCTTCAGAGATTTGATGTGGCCTTGATAGGCTGAATGGCCTGCTTCAATAATGTAGGGATTCTATGAGTGGTGTGTGGTTGAATTCCTGACTCTCTCTTTGCTTCATACACTTGCTGAGCTCCGAGTAATGATATCATCAGGAATAGCCCCATCCTGAAGAATCATCCGTTGCCCTTCTGTCAGGGATGCTTTATAACATTAATGCCGAACATTACAAATGTACGTGGTTATATTTTTTTAGCTCAGATTTGCATATGAGGTTTCAGCAATTGGTTTAGAAAGTTTCTCTCTAGTTTGGCACACATTTCCGTCCAGAGCTACAATTGGTCTCTCATTACTCATGCACAGAAAAAGGGAAGGAAAGGCAGATTCCCCCAGCCCTGGACACCCGACGGTTTGCAGCTATTTCACATTATGATCTCATACCAGTGACTTCGCTGTAACGAGCGTTCAAAGTGTTCATTCTAGTGACACAGGAAATTCCGTCACTTTCCAATCTGCCAACGTGCATGACTCCCACGGAGAACAAAACTCAGGTCCAGCAGCTTTAGCCAAGCCAGCCTCTTTCGCTCTCAACTGAGTTGTCCTGGGGAGAGCCAAAGGTGCCCCTCAGTTTAAACAGCTCAACCAAAGGACAGGAAACCTTAACAAGTAAGGCACTCAGTGACTTCAACAGTTAAGCTATAGACAACCAAGAGGTGAATCAGTGCATTGATCATGTGCAACTCAGTAAACATACACACTCACGTACATATGGTTTCACAAAGACATGTACATTCTCACATGTGCACAGACATACGTGCAGACATGCACACACATATGTACATACACATGTGTGTAAATGTGCACATACACCCAATGCACATGCACTTACACACATGAACAAAGGAAACACACACAGGAACAAACAGTGTTTCACTATGTACTTCCTGTTCCTGGAAATCAGCTTATCATACAAAAACAGTGTGCTGCTAGTCATGTACCATAGACACTGTATATGGTAGGAAGATTCAGGTGAGTACCCACCAGGGCTAGGGACAGACAGGGTCACATTCAGACAGGTAAAGGTGCCAAATGAAAGGTAATGTTCTGAATTTACAGCACATCCCCACTAGTTACTTCATTTCACGCCATCAGGATAGCTTCCAAGTCCTAACACCCTGACCAGCCTCCCCGCAAATACAGGTACACCTTTCAACTCAGTTACTTCATGCAGTAGGGAGTTCCACATTCTCACCAGCCTGTGGCTCAAGAAGTTTCTCTGGACCTCGCTATTGGTTAATCAACGACTGACTGATATTTGGAGGAGGCCAGGTGGTTCCGTGGATAGCTTCCTTGCCTCCAAGCCAGAAGCTCTGGGTTTGAGTCCCCACCTCTGATCTGGGTGGTCCAGGAGGGTGGCCAAGCAGTTGGAGTATCAGCTGGCAAAGCTTAAAACGCAAGCTAATGGCTGGAGCTAAGAGTGGGAGAGATTCCTGGCCAGCCCAGAAGAATGTTGGAGTCTCCACCATCACTCTCCATACTTCCTGACTGTAAAAAGTAAATAAAAGTGCTGAAGAAGGGTCTAGGCCCAAAACGTCAGCATTCCTGCCCCTCTGATGCTGCTTGGCCTGCTGTGTTCATCCAGCTCTACATCTTGTTATCTCAAATAAAAGTGCATGTTGCCACACAACTCAGATTTTCTCTGTGCCACCTGAAACATACAACACAAACTTACAGTCATTGCTAGTGCTAGTCTTTCCCCCAGCAGCGAAACCATCTCCTTTATGTTTCCCTGATCAAAGGCCTTTATAATTTGACAGACCTCCATCTGGTCACCACTAAGCCTTCTCTTTTCTTGGGAAAAGTTTAATCTTTTCTGATGGTGGTTGGCAGAAACAGCCATGTACCGGATAGCGAAGAGATCACCATGAATATATTACTGAATTATCTCACTCTATGGACACAGATTCCCTCATTAATGGGTAATTTGGGTACTTATTCATGTAGCCAGGTAAACACACTCTCTAATGCATCCTGCCCAGTACAAGACAGTACCATCAAATATTTGGACCTGGGACACTTGGCTTTTTCACAATGACTGACATAGAAAATTTCTTTGTACCTTCTTTGACTCTGGCAAAGCCACTTTGAGAGAGAAGCCAAAGAACTGTGGATGCTGGAAATCAGAAACAGAAACAGGAACTGCTAGGGAAACTCAACAGGTCTGGCAGCATCTGTGGAGAGAAAGCAGAGTTAACGTTTCAGGTCCAGTGACCCTCCTTCAGAAGAAATAAGAACGATTCTGATGGAGGGTCACTGGACCCAAGCTCTGCTTTCTCTCCCAGATACTGCCCAACCTGCTGAGTTTCTCCAGCAGTTTCTGTTCTTGTAACTTGAACAGCAAGCAGGAGGCTGTATGCTGCCACTAACAGCAATGCATTTGAAGTTCACTTTTATTGGGTATCAGTGAGTTTCTACACTTTATGCACTATAGTGTACTAATCATTGCTCAAAGAGGACAAGGAGTTGGAGATTTTGCACCTAGTACATGTAGAAACAGGCTTAAAGAGAGAAGGGACGCTATATCATAAGACATAAGAAGGTGCAGGTAGGTTGGATGTTCATTGACATGGAGCTGCAGTTAACTGTCAATCTTAATTTTCAGTGCAGGCTCATTGACTCCATTTGGTTAGGGCTGTTGCCATGGGAAAGGATCAGTGATAGTCTCTGTGACTCTTCTGTTTCCATGAAAAGATGCAATGTCCATGTGAAATGCATGTGCCTACACAACATAGGGTTCCGTGTTTTAATGCATGCAGCCTCTAGACTGTGCTATTAGATCACTCTGATGATCCCAAATCTTAAAAGTTTACAAGTGTAACTCTCAGCATGTTTAATAAATAATAACTAATCCAAATGTTGCACTGAGCTAACCAGCACCATTCCTGAGGGTTCACTGCTTCAAACAGCAAACATGGAACCAATGTTCACTTGGACTAATGGCTTACTCATTCCAAATTAGTTACCCTTTAAAAGTTAGACAGGCTGGGCCAATACCCATTGGATTTGAGAAGAATGAGAGATGATCTTATTAAGACATAAATAATTCTGAGGGAACTTAACAGGGTGGATGTTGAGAGGCTATTTCTTTACGTGGGGAAATCTAGAATTAAGGAAACTAGTTTAAATATAAAGGGTCTCCTGATTAATGAGATGAAGAGGAATTGTATCTCTTCTGACAGTCACTAGTCCATGGAACATGTGTTCCCCAAACCCCACTCCAGAAAGTGGGGGAAGATCTGGTCATTGAATTTACTCAAGGCTGGGTTGGGTAGATTTTTGATTGACAAGTGAGTGAGGATTCTAGGGACGGTAGTAAACTATTGTTAACGCCACAATCAGATCAGTCACGATCTTACTGAATAGAGGCACAGGAACATTGGGCTGAATGGCCTACTCCTGCTGTGAATTAGTGTGCAGTTGGGTGTAAACGTGGAGGAATTTCAAGACAAGGATGATGATATTCATTCCAAAGGATGAAGGGTGAGTAAGGGATTCTGTATGGGACTAAGACTCACACCCAGTAGGTAAAAACATACAGGGATTTTAGGGAAAGTCAGAGTTCACAAAGAGACAGAGGATGGAAAAGAGTAAAGTGAGCAAGGGCAGCGCGGTGGCTCAGCGGTTAGCACCGTTGCCTCACAGCACCACGGACTTGGGTTCAATTCCAGCCTCGGGTGACTGTCTGTGTGGAGTTTGCACATTCTCCCCATGTCTGTGTAGGTTTCCTCCCACAGTCCCAAAATGTGTAGGCTAGGTAGGTTAGCCATGAGAAATGTGGCCCTTTGGCGACAGGGAAGGATACTCTTCCAAGGGGATCAGTGCAGACTGAATGGGCCAAATGGGTCTCTATTTGAACCGCTGGGACTCTATGATATGAGAGGTGTGGATCTGGAAGTGAATTCCATCTAATTGAAGATCACAGGGAGCCCAAGGTCCTGAAGAATGATCAGAGAGCAACCTACGTTAGTTGAGCAATTTAGCTGTTGGTCAGTTTGTGGCTTCCAGCATATCCAAGTTTACTTTGCAAGTGTCCCCTTGGCCTTTGACAGCTCATTAGGCTGCCAGGTTCACCGTCACAGCTACAAACATTTGCATTTAAAAATAATATTATGAAATGGGAAAATTTATCATAATTGGTGAGTTATTGAGGTCAAACCTGATCCCACAATTGGGTAGGAGGTAAGCACTTTACAAAGTAAAATATTGATGAGGAATGAGACATACCATCTTCATCGTGCTTCACACGTGATAACTTAAGAATAGAAGCACTTATATAGCACCTTTCACAATCTCAGGATGTCCCAAAGGACTTTAGGACCATAGAGTCATGTGGCACAGAACAAGCCCTTCAGCCCATCTTTTACAGCTCATCAAGTATTTGCATAGTGTTGATCTTGTAATAATGCAGGAAACACTATAGCCAATCTGCACACAGTAAGCTCTCATAAAGAGTAATGGGACAGTGATCACATCATCTGTTTTGTTTGTAAGTGATGTGGTGAAAGGGATTAACGTTGACTAGGAGAAATTTCCTGCTGCTCTCCTGAGCTCTCACTGGAGTTTCAGCCTGAAGTTTGCGTGCAGGTCGATGAAGCATAACTCTAGGCCACATATTTGTGACCGTGAGGTGAGAGAGTGCTGCCCATTGAGTCTCTGACTCTCAATGACACACCTCACGTCCCTGCATTGGAGCTTCAGCTCCCCTCCTGAGGCAGTCACCAACTTGGCGAGGCTGGTATGTAGTCCTGGAGAGCGAGAGCATCAGAACTGACAGCTCCAATGAGGTGCTAGTAGAAGCTAGTTGGATGGGACAAATGGCCTCCTTCCACTGGGAGCTTTCCCAGGTTCCATGGTTGACTACAAATGATGACCCAACATGGGGAAGAAAACATTACAAGTTGGCAGGCAGGAGAGGAGGGAGTTAGCGCCATTAATGTGGAAATATAATAATTTACATTTTACATATTACTTAATAAAAAAAAAGGAGTTTTCACTCAACCCTGATTGTCTTTGCTTTCTTTGGTCGACAGTCTAAGAGCAACAAATGAGTGGCATCTGAATCTAACCAAACAACATCACAGGGAAATCAAACTCCCTCCTCCTAGTTTTCAGTACCAACATCATACACGGACAAGAACCTCCCCAACAATCAGTTAAAATGCTCAGGAAGCCAACTATTCTTTAATAAACGGCATTGCCCCTTTCAGAAATGTCCCTTCCTCGAACAATTCTACGAAGTAAGCCACCGCTTCCAACCTCCAGCTCATTTCATACAATCGTTACAATGACTGTCCCTCTGTCCAAAAGCGTCTGCAATTGGTTTTTGCAATCAAACTCTCCTCAAACTGGCTTCACTTTGAACATCCAGGAAGTACACCATCATCTTAAGAGCAAATAAAATGCACCCTCACCACATCACCACTTCCTCCTCATTACAGAGGCTTTCTCATGAACCAAATTAGACTGCTCCAGACCAGGAACACAGCTTTTTCCATTTGAAATCTTTTCACCTTCCTGCCCAGCTCACTGCCTGCTCTCTTTCTAACCATCCTGTCTTGCTCCTTCAGCAGGGCTACTAAAGTACCTTTCTGAATATTTTAATCCTCTTTTCTCTATCAGTTAAAACATCCCATTTGGCAGAGGATGCTATCAAACATAAGAATTAAGAGCAAAAATAGGCCAATCAGCCCTTTGAGCTTCTCAATTCAAATGAGATTGTGGTTGATCTGTTTGTGTTCTGAATTTTACATTCCCATCTACCTTCAATAACCTTGGATTTGGTTGTTGATTTGCTCGCCGAGCTGGTACATTTGTTCGCAGGTGTTTCGTCACCCTGCTAGGTAGCATCGTAAGTGCGCCTCCGGTGAAGCGTCGTGTTCTGTCCCATTTGTTATTTACCTGTCTCAGTTGCTGGGGTGGGTGGTATCACTTCCAGATTTGTTCCTTAGTGGTTGGTCTATGGGGTCCAGCTCTACATGTTTGTTAACAGAGCTCCTGTTTGAGTGCTAGACCTCCCGGAATTCTTGTGCATGTCTTCGCTTGTCTTGTCCCAGGATGGCTACGTTGTCCCAGTCGAATGTGATAGTTGGTCATGTCTCATGGTAGCTAGTTGGTGTTCATGAATCCTGATGGTCAGTTTCCTTCTGGTTTGCCCTATGTAATATTTTTGGCAGTCTTTGCATGGAACTCCATTAAAAAACATGTACCCATATACCAACCACTAAGAAACAAATCTGGAAGTGATGCCACCCTCCCCACCAAACGAGACACATAAATAGCAAGCGAGACAGAACACCAACGCTTCACTGGAGGTGCACTGATGAACACGGTGACAAACATCTGCAAACAAACTTACCAGCTCAGTGAACAAGTCGACAACCGCATCAACTACCCGAGCTACAAATCTTCTCAAAAACCTTGAACCTCGGATTCCCCGCCTAACAACAATCTATCCACCTCCATCTTAACGATATTGAATGATCCCACCTCCAGGGGCAGAGTGTTCCAGAGAGAGAAAAAAAAAGTCTCACCTGTGTCCCGAAAGGCAAACCCTCTAATTTCAGACAATGTCTCCTGATCCACTCAGCTACAGGAAGGAGCTGTCTGTCCACATGCACCATGGGAAGACAATCCAGCATCTTACAAATGTCAAACAAATCTTCCTCGCTCTTCTGAGCTCCAGTGACAACACAGGAGCAGGAAGAGACCATTCGGCCCATCAAGCCTGCTCCACCATTCAGTATGACCATGGCTCCAATCATCCAACTCAATCCCCTGTTCCCATTTTCACCCCACATCCCTTTTGCCTTATAAATAGATCTGCCTCCTTTTTGAAAACAAACTCAATCAGTCTAATCTCTTCTGATAAGACAACCTGCTCAGTCCAGCTATCAGTCTAACCAGGCAACAACCCACAGTCTCTCAGGTTATTTTGTTTGGTTCAGATACAAAATCAACGCAGGGAAATGAAGTTTAACCTGAGTGATGAGTGGAAAGTAGCGGGAGGGGACTGATCAGCCTCCCTTTATGCTGTCAGTGGGGCTGCCCACTCCTGAAACCCACTATCCTCGGTCTCCATGAGAGAAAGAATAAACCTGCCTCCCAGAGCCACCTTTCCCTCACCCTCAGCCTTACCTATGGGCAGCAGCAAAGCCTGGTTGCCTTCACCCTCTGTCCCACATAAAGCAGTAGTGAATCAAGAAGGAGTATCTTCACAGGGTACACTCCTCACCTTACTTCTCCTGGCTTCATCCCCTAGGGAACTTCCAGAAGTTTAAGGAAAAGGGAGGAAAACTCCCAAGTTCAGAAATCACTACGACACCAGATTATAGTCCAACATGTTTATTTGAAACCACAAGCTTTCGGAGCGCAGCTCCTATCCCAGGTGAAGGAGCAATGTTCCAAAAGCTTGTGCTTTCAAATAAAGTCAACACAGTGTGGAGCTGGTGGAACACAGCAGGTCAAGGAGCATCACAGCAGCAGGAAAGTCAATGTTTCAGGTTCTTGCTATCTCTGTTTTCAAATAAACCTGTTGGACTATAGCCTGGCATCGTGTGACTTCTGACCTTATCCACCCCAGTCCAACACCAGCACCTCCACACCATCCCAACAGGTTGGAAGTACACTGAAAAGTCTAGCTGATCTTTATCCCCCAGCAACGGGTCTCTAGTGTAAAGCACTGGCTTCTGGTAAAATTCAGTACCTCAAGGGTTAATTGTCATTCTGCTCGGAGTACTAGAAGCTGCAAAGTTAAATGTCGATAGCAAAACAGAACAGGATGTTCCATCGTACAATATGCAAAGTAACTTCAAACCACTTCGGAGTGTATTTTGTTATTTGGTTAATGAGATTAAAACAAAAATCACGAAGTTAACTGGTTTTTACTGAGAAACTCTTTTTCTTAGATTCCCGCCCGCCCTGTTTAAAAACACAAAGGGTCAATAGCTCCATTGATTTGGAGCGAACTGGCCCACAATCTCAGTGGAACTCAAGACAAAGCTCTGGAGGGAGGGAGACAGATAGATAGATAGGCTGCAGTTGTACTCACCGCTCGTAGCCTCGGGGAAGCTTGACACTGAAGTCTGCCCCATAGTCTTCCTGCTTCAACAGGACTCCTTGCTATCCCCGCTCGCATGAAGTCGGCAGGTCGTCAGAACTGTCCCAGACACATCAGAGAGACGCAGCTCCTCCAACCACCAACACTACCCAGCTTCATTTTCACTTTCTCTCCCGAAAGAAAGGCTAACTCCCCTTCGCTCTCACACAGAGGTTAATGAGAACTTTCACAACTCCAGTCTCTCTCTCTCTAGTACACACACCCAACCCTTTTTCTGCTCCAGCCTCTACACCCCGTCTGTTTCTGCTCAGCTAAAATGCTTGTCATTCCTCTATGCAGATTAACGGAGAGAGGTCAGAGGGCGTAGGGAGGGAGTCCCAACCTGGTGCATGATGGCTGAGAGATAAATTCTCCTTTTTGGAGATGTGTGCCCCAGGGATGGGGGAAATTAAACTTGGAAAGTGGCTGTGGGGATGGGTGGAGTCGAATCAAAAGTTCCTTCTTTTAAAAAAAAAACATTCTGCATCCTTGCAATTGAAAATGAGTTCAAGATAATAAAAAGAAACGTGAATTATTTAAAATCTGGAAGCAGCACATTTCCATTGGGCTCAATAAGACCAGGAGAGTGTGAGGTTAAGGGTGACTGGACACAGCCAGAAAAGCTGCAGTGTCAAGCGTAAAGGTAAAAAGAGGTTCCATTTGACAATACAGTGTTTTTATTTATTAAAAAAAAATTCCATTTCCCTTCTAAGTATTCTAAATAAAAGTTTGTTGCATCCTGATTTTCACTTTTCATTTCTTAAGAATAAATCATGCTGCAAGTTCCACTGTTTTAGTACCTTTTTTTATTAACTCATGGTGTCGCTGTCTGGGCCAACATTTATTACCCATCCCTAGTTGCCCCTTGAGAAGGTGGTGGTGAGCTGCCTTCTTAAACCGCTACAGTCCACTTGCTGTAGGTAGACCCACAATGCCCTTAGGGAGGGAATTCCAGGATTTTTGGCCCAGTGACAGTGGAGGAACGGTGATATATTTCCAAGTCAGGATGGTGAGTGGTTGTAGGGAGTAGTGTTCCCATGTATCTGCTGCCCTTGTCCTTCTAGATGGAAGTGGTCGTGGGTTTGGAAGTTGCTGTCTGAGGATTTTTGGTGAATTTCTACAGTAATCTTCTAGATAGTATACGCTGGTGCTACTGAGCATCTGTGGTGGAGGGAGTGAATGCTTAAAAATCAAACACACATTGATAACAAGGTGTGGAGCTGGAGGAACACAGCAGGCTTTAACCTCACACTCTCCTGGTCTTATTGAGCTGAATGGAAATGTGCTGCTTCCAGATTTTAAATAATTCACGTTTCTTTTTATTATCTTGAACTCATTAACTCTCCGTTAATCTGCATAGAGGAATGACAAACATCAGAGGGGCAGGAAAGCAGACGTCAGCTTTTCTGCTCCTCTGATGCTGCCTGGCCTGCTGTGTTCCTCCAACTCCACACCTTGTTATCTCAGACTCCAGTATCAGCAGTTCCTACTATCTCTGAGTGAGTTAAAACACACAGTGATACCAGAAGATGAATGCATCGATCACATTGTGACTCCACATTGGAGTGTGCGAGACAAATGGGGCCAGTCTGTATCATTCGGGGACTGGCCCTCATCAATTCGAGGGTGATTTCATTGGTTCAGACATGTTGGGGGAGGGGAGAGGGCAATCACACATTCAAGGTCTTTCTATATGGAGAGATCCATGGGAAAAAGTGACCAGATGCGTGCTACACTTCAAGGAGGTTTACAAACATAGAAACCTGGAGCAGGAGTAGGCCATTTGAGCCTGCTCCACTGCTCAATATGATCATGGGTGATCCTCTATCTCAACACAACATTTCTAACTTTTCCCCGTCCATCTTGATGTCTATGGCCTAGTGGTACAATCTAATGAGACAATGTAACCACTGCCCCTTGACATTCATTGGTGTAACCCATCACTGAATTCCCCCACTATCAATATCCCTGGGGGTTACCAGAAACTCACCACATAAACACAGTGGCTACAAGAGCAGGTCACAGGCTAGGAATACTATGGTGATTAACTCACCCCCGGATCCCCCGAAGCCTGTCCGCCATTTACAAGGCACAAGTCAGGAGTGTGATGGACCCACTTGCCTGGATGGGTGCAGCCCCAATAACACTCAAGAAGCTTGACACCATCCAGGACAAAGCAGTCGCTTGATTGGCACCACATCCACAAGCATTCACTCCCTCCACCACTGACGCTCAGTAGCAGCAGTGTGTACTATCTACAGGATGCACTGCAGAAATTCACCAAAGATCCTCAGACAGCACCTTCCAAACCCACAACCACTTCCATCTAGAAGGACAAGGGCGGCAGATACATGGGAACACGACCTCCTGCAAGTTCCCCTCCAAGCCACTCACCATCCTGACCTGGGAATATATCACTGCTACTTCAGTGTCATTGGGTTAAAATCCCGGAATTTCCTCCCTAATGGCATGTGGGCCAATCTATAGCACACGGACTGCATTGGTTCAAGAAGGCAGCACTGAAAACGTGACTACACCTGAAATCCACCTCGGATTGGTTCTCTTTAGTCATTGGGCAAACATACAAATATACTTTATCTGAAGAAGGGTCCCCCCACCGGAAACGTCAACTTTCCTGCTCCTCTGATGCCTCCTGGCCTGCAGCGTTCCTCCAGCTCCACACTGTTGTCTCTGACTCCAGCATCGGCAGTTCTTGCTATCTCTACCAGCAAGAGTAGGCCACTCGATCCTTTGACCTGCTCTGCCGTGCAATAAGATCATGGCTGATCTGACTTTAACCTCTTCTCCACATTCCTGCATATCCTGATAAACTTCCATCCCTTTGGTCATCAAGAATCTATCCACTTCTCCCTTAAAACATATTCAGAACTTGGAGAAAGGAAGTCAATGCACTGTAGCCAAATCTGCAGATGACACTAAAATAGCTGGAATGGCAGGTTGTGAGAGGGATACAAACAGTTTACAGAGATATATCAATAGGTTAAGTAAATGGACAAAATGTTGGCAAATGGAATATAATGTGGGAAATGCAAAGTTATTCATTTTGGCATACAGAACAAAAAGTCTATTCAAATGGAGAGAAACTGCAGAAAACTGCAACACAAAGGGACTTGGGGGAGCTTGAACAAGAAACACAGAAAGCTAGCACACAGGTACAGCAGGTAATCGGGAAGGCTCATGGAATGCTGGCCCTTATTTCAAGGGGGTTGGAATATAAGAGTAGGGAAGTCTTACTGCGACTGTACAAGGTGCTGATGAGACCACATCTGGCGTACTGTCAGCAGTTTTGGTTCCCTTATTTAAGGAAAGAAATCATTTTATTGGTGGCCATTCAGAGAAGGTTCACTTGGATGATCCCCAGTAAGGAGGGACTGTCTTATGAGCAAAGGCTAAACAAGTTGGGACTCTATTCACTGGAGTTTAGAAGAATGAGAGGTGATCTCACTGAAACATATAGGATTCTTAAAGGGCTTGGCAGGGTAAATGCTGAGAGGATGTTTTCCCTCATGGGGGAGCATAGGACCAGAGGTCTTAAGTCTCAGAATAAATTTAAGACTGACATAAGGACGAATTTCTTCTCTCAGACGGTTGTAAGTCTTTGTAACTCCTTGCTGCAGATAGCTGTGGGGACAGAGCCCTTCTATTTAAGGCTGAGATATGGAGATTCTTGATCAATCGGGGAATCAAGGGTTACAGGGAAAGGGCAGGAAAGTGGGTGTGAGGAATATAGGATCAGCCATGTTCCTATTACGTGGTGTAGCAGGTTTGAGGGACCGAATGGCCTACTCTTGTTCCTTTTTTCATATGGTCTTATAAAAATATTTAAAGATTCTACATCCTCTGCATTTTGATAAAGGGAATTCCAAAGACTTACAACCCTCTGAGAGAAAAAATGTTTCCTCATCTCAACTTTCAATGGGCAACCTCTAGTTTTAGATCCTCCCACAAGAGGAACCATCCTTTCCACGTCTACCTGGTCAAGTCCCCTGAGCAGAATTTCTAGTCCAGGGTGTTAGGATGCACAAAAGTTAGGAGTTTCCCTCCCGAGGATCCACTCTAAGGATCTGAACCCCCCAGTCACCAACTCAAGTGTATCAGCCATGTTGAATCCCTAGGGATTACCAACTCCTGTTGCTGGAGCTTTGATCATTGGACATGTTGATCACATGACTGTTGGGCCTGTAGTACCTGATCACATGATGTCTACAAACTCTTTCCGTGTTCACCTTGAGGACAGAGAACTTCTGCTCCTGTTCTCACAGCTATTGTCTGAGACATTCGCAGAACCACAAGCTGTCCTACGAATCGTATTGAACTAGGGGTCAGGTTGAAGGAGTTGAATGGCCTAATCCTGCCCGTTATTTCTAATGACACATTATTGGCATCAGCAGTCATGTCCTCCACCTCCACTTCCACTTCCTAATTCGGGATAGTTGGCAGGTGCTGGAGACAAAGGTTCAGCCTGCATCATTTGTGGTAGGCCTTAGGAAGGGAATTCCAGAATTTTGACCCATTGACAGTGAACGTGCGCCGATACATTTCCAGGTCAGGATGGTGAGTAGCTCGGAGGGGAACTTGCAGGTGGTGGTGTTCCCATGTATCTTCTGCCCTTGTCCTTCTCGATGGTAGAGATGTGGGTTCGGAAGGTGCTGCCTCGGTGAATTTCTTTGATGCATCCTAGAGATGGTGCACACTGTTTGTTGGTTGCAGGGAGAGCGAATATTTGCAGATGTGGTGCCAACCATGTGAGCTGCTTTGAGCCAGATGGTGTCCAGGCCCTGCAGCATTGTTGGATTGCTATTGTGTGCTTTTGGTCTGTGCGGAGAGGGAACAACATCAGCTAACAGGGACAAGCTGAGTGGTCAGCGGATAATGGTGAGCACTGACAGGGCATGAGGTGAGAGAAGGATGCACTTTCTAATCTCAGATGGAGGCAACTTCAGTCATAGCTGATTGAAAGGTATGAATTTTAGTGACAGAGCAGTCCCAAGAACTCATCGACACTTGTTGGAAATGAGGCTGGAGGAAGCAGGAGTTAGGGACAACCCTTCAAAAGTATTTAGCTGGTGCTAAGAAATAGACAAAAAGTGTGTATGTGTGTGTGTGTGTTTGTGTGTGTATCATGGGTCTGATTTTCTCTGGTTCGATGACTGAGGGGAGTCCTTAACCAGGTGTATATCAGAGGCTTCTTTTTAAACAAACATTGGTTCTCTGATTCAATATGATGGCTGTGTTATGAATAGACCCCAGGGCAGGTCCCCCAAGTTATGTCAAGTTCCGTACAGAACACCCCAAACTCTCAGCTATCATTTAAGATAGGGTGCTAACAGGAACAGTAGGGTG